TGTATGTATGTATGTATGTATGTATGTATGTATGTATGTATGTATGTATGTATGTATGTATGTATGTATGTATGTATGTATGTATGTATGTATGTATGTATGTATGTATGTATGTATGTATGTATGTATGTATGTATGTATGTATGTATGTATGTATGTATGTATGTATGTATGTATGTATGTATGTATGTATGTATGTATGTATGTATGTAATGTACGTACAACCCCTGGCAAAAATCACTGGCCATTCAGTTGTTTCATTTTGTAGAAAAAAAGCAGATCACAGACATGACACAAAACTAAAGTAATTTCTACTGCCTGGCTTTAAGAAACACACAAAAATATTTTTTTACATTTTGGTAGTCAGTAAGGGTTACTTTTTTAGACTAAGCAGAGGGAAAAAAATATTTAATCACTCAATTCTGAGGAACAAATAATGGAATCACCCTGTATATTTCCATCCCTCAAAACTAACACCAACACCAGAGCTATCCAGTGAAACAAAGGAGAGGATGATCCAAATCTTAAAAGATGGTAAATAATCACACAATGTTGTAAAATATGTGTTTAAAATGTGGACCAAAAACAAACGACGTGGGAATGTTGTTAAAGGCAAACATACTGGTCGACCAAGGAAGACATCAAAGTGTCAAGACAGAAAACTTAAAGCAAGATGTCTCAAAAACGAAACAAAAATGCTCAACAAAACAAATGAGAGGAAACTGGAGTCAACGTCTGTCACCAAACTGTAAGAAATTGACTAAAGGAAATAGGATTTACATACAGAAAAGCTAAAGGAAAGCCATCATTGACACCTAAACAGAAAAAACATGGTCACTATGGGCTAAGGAAAAGCTGTGGTGGACTGTGGATGAGAGGATGAATCTGCATTGGGAAGGAGATGATGCTGGAGCTTTATTTGGTGCCGTTTTAGTGAGAATTAGAAAAATGAATGCCTGAAGAGAACATGCACAGTTCCACAGTCCACTGTTGCTGCACGTCATTACATCTTCAACAAATGCATAAGTTTACCCTGATATTTCTGACCCTTTTCTTATCCCGTCAATTGAAAGATGTCTGGGGAGGATGAAATAATCTTTCAAGATGGTAATGCATCTTGCCATAGAGCAAAAACTGTGAGAACATTCTTTGAAAAAACACACTTAAGGCCAGTGTCATGGTCTGTAAATAGTCCGGATCTTAATCCAATGTAAAATCTTTGGTGGAAGTTGAAGAAAATGGTCCATGAGAAGGCTCCAGCCTGCAGAGCTGATCTGGAAACATCAATTAGAGAAATATGGAGCCAGATTGATGCAGAGTACTGATTGATACTCATTAGATCCATGTCTCAGACTGACAGCTGTCATAAAACCAGAGGTGGTGCAAAATACCAGTGATGTATTGGAGCATTCTTTTGTTTTTTTTCATGATTCCATAATTTTTTCCTCAGAATTGAGCGATTCCATATTTTTTCCTTCTGTTTGGCTAAAAAAGTAACCCTCACTGACTACCACAGTGTTTTCTTGGTTTCTTTTAGTGTTTCTTAAAGCCAGGCAGTTGAAATGACTTTAGCTTTGTGTCATGTCTGTGATCTGCTTTTTTTCTACATGTCTTCGTATGTCTGTATGTAGTGTGTTTTGAGTATTGAGTATTTTGTAGATGATACTCTGCATCTCAGAGCACTCTGCTGTGCTGTTTGCTTGAATACCAAGATCCAGTTGGACCCCCAACAATTTATCTAGAGGAGGAAAGTCATATATTTTAAGAACTCATTTCCAAAAAAACTAAACTAAATCAAATAAATGACTGTTGTTTGTCTGGTGCTTTGTAATTCCAGCATGCAACAATGATCAGATTCATGTGTGATGACTCAAAAGTGGTCAAAGCCCACCTGGTGACTGATAAAGTCAGAAAAACCTGAAGCTGATACCAACAACCTACCAAAACAATGCATGTCCCAAAGAAAGCTTTCCCCTTTCATCAGAAATGAAGGTGGAGAAAGCTCTCCATTTTTTACGATTAGACAAAATCACAGGACAAAGATGCTGCCCAAACGGATAATATTAGGGATTCAGGCTGGAATGGCCTCATCCATTTCTGTGTTTAAAGATGAACCCCAAAGCAGGGCTAAATCTTGCTATCTAGGGCTTTGTCCCAAAAGAGAGCCGAGGCGGGGCCTTTAATGTTGTACGCACCGCTTTATTTCAAGCCGAATGTGCTGAAGATCAGAGGAGGAAGAACAAAAAAGTGAAAGCAAATGTTCATCTGTCACCTTCCATCCCTCCTCCCACAGGACAGAACGTGTCAAACCTCAGGGATAGACTTTTAGTAAATATCTAAATCCTCTATCTACTACCTACGGTCAAACAGCCTGACCTCACACTCGCTGCCCTGTTGGGTGACATCTCCGGGAACAAAAGGCAAATTAGACAGTTAAATGAACAAAAGGTATTCATTAAAACATTATTCAACAGCAACAGGGTCCAACTTCAGGAGCTTTTGGGCTTCCTGGACCCACTCCTGTCCTGTTTCAGGGGATACTGCATTATTTGGGAAACACTGGAGTGGTTGGTCAGCATTTTGTTTGACGGGATTCTTTCAGGAGTTCCCTCCCAGTCTCCACCAGCATGGGTTAGCCCTTACAACTCCCTGGTCCCAGCCAGGGATGGGGATCGT